CATGGCGGAGCCCTCCGCGATCGCCCCGGCCGGCCAAGTCGCGGTTCATGTGCTCATCCCAAACCATGGTATGGATAGTCACACGCAATTCTTCGAAACCCGTCGAAAGATCCGCAAACCGATCCGTAATCTGTGTTCGCCCATCTGCTGAAATCGATCGTTGATGGCGACATGTCGTTCGTTTGCTGTATCTTGTCGTCCCGTCGGCATCGTGAATCTTGTTGACTGCTGATACGAACTGATGTAGGGGTACGAGTGGGTGATGATATAAGAAATTCAATCTCTCTCAATACGATAAAACACACTCAATATTTTATTGAAAGGAAAAAAAAAACTAGAGGGAGTCCATAATGACCAAGACTAAGTAAGATAACAAATAAATACTAAATGCTAGAAATAATAAGAATAGTAGATATAATAATAAATATTTGATACTCCGCCTGCTCCATTATTTCATTTAAATAAAGAGTGCATTAACGACGTCATATGTCGTGTGATCTTCCGATGCTCCACCTGGCTTTTAGAAGGATGATTTTAAGTAAAAAATAGAGGCTCTAGTAGTGCTAAGAGTTCTTATCAACATGAAATATGGAGGGCATTTAGAATACACAAATAGAAAGCACAATATCAATTGTTATCAGTGCTCTCTATTTTCTATTTTACCTCTTCCAGAAGCTTATAGAAGTTGCAAGGGGGATTAAAAGGTTTTTCAATTGCTGTGTAACTAGTTTGCTGTTGAAATGGATGCTCAATCCATAGTTCTAGTATATTCCTATGGTTTACCTCATGTTTGACTGAAATTAGAAATAAATCCCTTCTACTAGCTTCACATTATTTTGTTTCACTGTTACGAGCTTCACATAGATCTGAAATTCTTTCGTCCTCTGACTTTATGTTTGCAGCATCTGGCTAGGATTCCTATGACTTGCATTCCTTGAGCTTTTTTTTTCTCCATTTCTTTTCTAATTCAATCCACTTATATTTGGAACATTGTATGAAAATTCCACTGGGTGTGATGTCTATACTTTGTTTTCATAATTCACCCTTTCTTATAATTGCCTAAACTATTTCATTAGAGTTTATAGGGAAGGGAAATTAAAGTAGTTCACCATTATTGGTGGATATAGGGGTTCAAAACTAAATAGGCTATTAGTCCCTTTCCTTTTTTTCTGGAATATACTAATAGATTGAGTTGAATATTGCATGTCAGAAGATAAGGATTGTCTGACCTGCATTGTTGGATTTGATTGACAAATAAGTTATATCCTTTAACCATCCTTTGGGTAGGGGCTAGGGTTGCAAACGAGTCGAGTCGAGTTGAGCATTGGCGTTATTGAGCAGGATTGGTTTTTTTTTTTTTTTAGTTGCTCGAACTCGAGTTTGACTCGATAAAAAAGTACAATCGCTTGAGTTCGGCTCGAAATCAAAAATATGCTTGAGCTTGGCTTGAAATTTTTTGAGTGGAAAAATAAAATTACCATTAAACACCAATGCTATATATACATATATACATGTCTTGAGCCGCTCGACAATGCAAAATATTGGCTCGAGCTCGAGCCGCTCCAGCTCGACTCGTGTTCGGTTAAACTCGTGCTCGATTCGAGCTTTGACTCGAGCCGCTCGGTTCGTTTGCAGCCTTAGTAGGGGTGGAGGTGGGGGTTCCTCTTGAGGCTCCGGCGTTGCCTTGTCTGTGCCCAAGGAATGCAAGGAATGTTAAAGACAATGAAATATAAAAGTCCAGTAGACCTATGTTACTCTTTCCAGAGACAATTTCCTTCTTATCCACCCCATTTCTCATGCTAAGCTTCTGGCCACTGCCTTGTGTGACATGGATTGCAGTACCATAAGTTTACTGCCTTGAACTAGTGAGAATAAAATGAAATATGAATTTAGAATATTGAAGAAAGTGATAATTGAGGCTTTGGTTGAAATATGGTTTTATTTTGTTTCATTTTTTCCCTGCTAGAGAATAATAATGAAGTTTCGAAAGAATGACTTTGAAGAATGTAACTGGATATGGAAGGACAATGTAATGATGAAAAATCAATGGATGAAAGGAAATAGAAATTGTAAAGTACCGGTTGATAGTTAGAAATATGTGAGTGGGTCAATTATGCGTTATTCAGTGACTCTTATGTGTTTAAATCTTTAAGAAGACCAGACGTGACTAGTGATAGAAAAAATGGAGTTTGCGCTGCGTCATTTCTGAGTGATTGCATGAACGATCTTCAATAGAAAGAAAATGAGATAGATATATGCAAACGCCTGAACTTCTCTTCTTGTTTCTGATTGTTGATCTGAATTTGTGTTCTTGCCTCTGATTTTTTACCATCTTTGTAGGGCATGTTCTATTGTAGCTGATGTCTTTATAAATCTGATTGGAAATTCCTAGTCACTCTTAAGTTTTGATTTTGGAAAACAGAATAGGATTAACTGTTTTGAGGTACTAAATATTCTGTAGTGTTTTATGTTATCCTGCAGTTTTTATTCTCCATATGAGCAGACTGAATTTTTTTGTTCAGGATGTTATAAGCTACATGGAGAAAGTCTTTTGTGTCAACAACTTGATTAGTCAAGTAGAGAATGGAACGTCAGCACATCAACAATCTTCCTCGGTTTCAAAATCTACTTCTCTAGCGAGCAATCCGACTGCGACCGATTCTTCACATATGGATTCTGTTGCTGCAAATACATTAGAAAATTCTTTAGCCAGAACTTTGTCTGAAGAAGCACTTGAAGATGAATCATTGCAGCTGCTATCTTTTCTTAACATCAGCGGGCAAAACCTTCAGAGACTTTCTGGCATTTCATCTTCACATGACCTTTCAAGAAGCCAATCCGAGAACTCCTTATCAGTTGCCGATTTAAGGCTTAAGCTGCACCTTTACAAAGTTCATTTTTTGCTTCTCACGCGGAATCTCAAAGCAGCCAAGCGTGAAGTCAAGATGGCGATGAATTTAGCTCGTGGCAAGGATTATTCGCTCGCCCTTTATTTAAAATCTCAGCTCGAATATGCCCGCAGGAACCATCGCAAAGCAATCAAACTTCTGATGGCATCAAGTAATCGAACAGAGACAGGAATCTCTAGCATGTACTACAACAACCTCGGGTGTATCTATTATCAACTGGGGAAGTATCACACATCGGGTATATTCTTTTCCAAAGCACTAAAGAGCTGCTCGCTTTTGCGTAAAGAGAAACCTCCGAAACTCCTAACTCTGTCCCAGGATAAGTCCCTTCTGATAGCTTATAATTGTGGTATGCACGCATTTGCCTGTGGCAGACCTTTCCATGCCACACGCTGTTTTCAAAAGGCCAGCCTAATTTTTTACAACAGACCCCTTCTATGGTTACGAATTGCTGACTGCTGTCTGATGGCTCTGGAAAAGGGTCTGACAACCCCAAATGTTTCGGCTCCCAGCAGGTCTGATATCAGAGTCAACGTTATTGGCAAGGGAAAATGGAGGCATCTTGCTTTGAGTTATGGGCACTCAACGAGTGGGTTGGAATGTGATGATTCGCCTGTGAGTGATGGAAAACAGCCCGAGCTCTCGATATCTCTTGCGTGGCATTGTCTTGTCAATGCTTTGTATCTGTTGGACTCCTCCAAGGCAAAGTATTCTGTTTGTGGTTCGCCACTTGGTACTACGGAAAACGAGTTGAAAGAAATAATGCTTCCAACAAACCACAAGAATGTTGGGGATGGTGACCCCAAGGAATCTATTTCATCATCTGGTCTGGGTCAAGTTATTTCAAATGGCCAAGTGAAAGAGCAAAAGAGTGGAAACAATTGGAGTGCATCACTACAGAACTCTGTAAATGACTTTGACAACATTTGTATGAAGGAGAACCATATGATGAAGCAAGCCGTGCTGGCCAATTTGGCTTATGTCGAGCTGGCGCTGGGAAATCCGCTGGAAGCCCTGTCGACGGCAAAGTCCCTTTTGGAACTTCCTGAATGTTCAAGGATATACGTCTTTCTGGGGACTATATATGCTGCCGAGGCTCTGTGCCTACTAAATCAGCCCAAGGAAGCAGCTGAACGCCTGTTGAAGTATGTTTCAAGCGGGAATCTTGTTGAGCTACCTTATAGCCGAGAAGACTGTGAAAAGTGGAAAATGGAAAAAGTGGTTGACAACGATGATTCAAGAAGTGCACAGGCAGCTGATGAATCCCAGGGATCATCTGTGTTTCTTAGTCCTGAAGAGGCACGTGGAGTATTGTTAGCGAATTATGCTGCCAACTTGGCTTTGCTGGGAGACCTCGAGCGGGCTCAGCATTTTGTAACCAAGGCTTTATCCGATATACCTAAAAGTCCACAAGCTATACTTACAGCGATTTATTTGGATCTCAAGTGCAGCAGGACACAAGAAGCTATTGAGAAGTTGAAACAGCATGGTGCTGTTAGGTTTTATCGGGAAGTTTTTAGTTGAATGGTTGTTCTTGATTGTTGTTGAGTTGTTTTCCGTGCGCAATCACCCTCACTTCGAGTTAGCAGGTAGCTCGAAGGATGTGTAACATATATATCGCTGGATTCGGGGAAATAAGTTTTCATTTTCCTTTTTCCCCATTTTTCTTATAATTTTTTTTTTTATTTTTTTTTATTTTTTTTATTTTTTTTGTTAGCTTAGTGACTGGGTGGCGTGGCCTAATTTTGTTGATTAGAGATCCACACCTCTATTGTATTCAAGATGTAGTTTTTGATTCATTATGATGTGCTCCTCTTTGTAGATGTTAATTATTCAGGCATCAATTTAAGCTGGACTCGCAAAGATTGTTATATTCACGTGGAAAACTTACTCTCAGGAATTCTTGGGATTTAGCATCTAAAATTTACTGTTTGTTTATTGATTGAATTTGTTGGATGACCATAGTTAATTTTGAAAAAGTTTATAGTGAGTTAAGTTTGAGTTAAGTCTTAAATCTATATTATAATAATATATGAAATATAAAATTTTGAAAAAGTTTATAGAGTTAAATTTGAGTTAAGTCTTAAATTTATATTATAATAATATATGAAATATAATGATTAAAGTTTACTTGATGTAAAAGTATGAGAGAAAAAGATGTGAGCTGATGAATAGTAAAATTGAGGAGGGTTGAGTTGACTTAAATTTTAGTTAGAATATTAGCTGAAACAAACTATATGGTTAATTTTGACCACATAATTTATAACCAGTTAGGGTTTAAAAATACGCCATGAGAGTTGAAATAAATTAAATAGGTTTAATATACACATGAATAGACCAACTCAGTTTCCTTATTGGAATATTTATCTCTCTAGAGTATGAGTTCCTTCTTAGGATAGAGTTAGGGTTTCCTATTCCCGTTCTTCTCAATCGATCATCGCTTTCCTTTTCCTTTCTTCCCAATCGACCAATGCCTTGTGTTTCCCTTCGTCATCGATAGCTTTCATTTCTGCTTTCCCCGCTAAACTCTCTCTCAGCCCCTCTGTTCCCCCATGTTTTGCGTTGTCCTTTTCCGTTTCCCCTTCATCTGCGTATCCCCTCTTCCATCAAGGAACAAGAAGTCCTGACCAAGCTGAAAAAATTTGCCCTTTCATATAAAGAAGAAGAAGGCTTAGAGCTCTATGATGATGATGTTACCCCGGGTATTCAGGAATGTCAGAAAAGTCTCATAGGAAAAGTTTACGGTGAGAAGAAGGTTAATTTCAACGGGCTCAAAACTGCTCTGGGCAACATTTGGCTGACCAAACAACCATTTACAGTCAGTAACTTGGGGGAACAACTCATTTCAATTTATCTTTCAAAATGAGGAAGATAGAGACAAGATCCTTAGAGGCAAAACATGGAACTTCGATGGCCAGTATCTTCTTCTTAAGACATGGGATCCCCTCAACCTTGAATTCTCGGAGGAAGAAGTAATCAAAATCTGGGTCCAAGTGCATAACCTCCCACTCCACTAGATAAGTACAGATATTGGGCTCAAGATCGGCAAATTGATTGGCATGCCTCTCGATGTCATCACTCCAGATTCATCAAACACCCAGGGCCAAATCATCAGAATTCTAGTGCTGCTCAAACTCAAGGACCCTATCCTGCGAGGTTTAAAAATCAAACTGAAATAAAAAACAAGATGGGTGGATCTAAGGTACGAGAATCTCCAAAATTTTTGTTTTTATTGTGGTAAAATTGGCCACGGGGAACGTAATTGCCCTGTAAAAACAGATGATGCTAGTAGAGATTCTATTAACATGGGTCAATTTGGGGAATGGCTTAGAGTCCCCTCTATGTTTCATTTTGAGTCTAGATCCCACAGTCAACCAAATTCTTGTAATCAGCCTGAGGATAGAAATTCCCACAAGAACTCAGCCCATCATTCTGACACCCCAGAGTCTAAGGATAATGCTATCCCCATGCCAGTGGATCTCATTACACCGGTTAGGGTCATAGCTGCTCGTGAGCCTCCATTGGTAGGAAAAGGTTCAAGCTCTATTGAACCTCTTCCTATCAAGGATCCTCCAACACAACATCAACCATCCCTGAGTACTGAAAACCTTATTGAGGTGGAAGTACAACCTGCAATCCAAAAGCCCAAACAAACCCCTAGGCAGAAAAGCACCTTCACTAGGAAACCCAGAGCTCAAATGGGCAATAAAGATGACAATATGGTCATTCAGTGTGCCCAAGTTCCTAAGGGATCTAGTAAGAGGGACATCTCAATGTTTATCACTAATGAAACTCCATTGGATGAAAGTGCTTCAGATCCCAAAAAACCAAAAATTCAAGCCAGCAATAAGTCTATTGTGGTGGAGGCAACCAACCATAACTGGTCCCACAGTGATCCATGAAGGTATGTGTGTGGAACAATAGAGGTCTGGGAGGACTCTCTACAGTTTCCCAGTTCAAAGGGATCTTAAGATCCCACCTCCCTGATTTTGTTTTCCTTTCAGAGGTTAAAAAAAGGAAAAATTTGTTGAAAATGTTTGCAAAAATTTAAAATTAGATGATAGATGGTCCTATCAGGCACCTATAGGTAGTAAGGGTGGCCTTCTTTTGTATTGGTCTCATAAGATTGATATCATTGAGATCAACCCCCTTGAATTTTGCTGTGAAGTCCATTTTAATTTTGATGGAGAAGTAACCCCTCAATGGGCCATCTTTCTTTATGCCAGTCCTTTTCCTTCAGAATGAAATGCCCAATGGGGTCTTCTTTTAAGACACAACATGTCTTGGGGCAGGAAGTGGTTCATAGGAGGAGACTTCAATGACATCCTGGACAATTCTGAGAAATTAGGGGGGAGATGTAGAACTAGTAGCAGCTTCAGACCTCTTGTTATCATCCAATCCGGTAATCCGAGATTACTCGCCTGAAATGACGTGTTAGAAGGATCATTATTAGCACCGACCTAAGCCCTGACCACTTCGGTTTATAACACGACCGGACTCCAACCCGAAGCTGGTGACAAGGCGCATACACAACACCTTCGCACACCACAAGATATCTCATCATTCAAGTGGGGCTCACTCACATAGCCGCCCAAAAAAAGCCACTTTATGAAAAAGAGACCTTACACCTCGAGATACAGAATCAAAAGATACCATAAATAGCAAATTCTTATCTTGTAGAGGGATCGCTCTCTGAACATTGAAATAAATACAAAAGCGCCCTACACTTTTCACCTCGGTTCACCTCGGACCGGGGTCGTTGTTCTTGTATTTTATGCATGTTTTACACGTGAATTACGTTAACGCAGTCACATAATCTTATACAAAATCATTGTTAACAATCACATAACAACAGTTTGGCGCTAAAAGGAGGGCCTCATACAATTTTTTAGGACAATCTTCGATCCTTTGTTCTTCAGCTACATCATCACAGCCAGCATGTCACACTCAGATCATCGCGGTCATACATCGCGAGATGGTCACAGCCGTAGCGCTGCTCAATCCATCAGGCGTCAAACGGCGATACCAAATATGCCTGATTATACAACTGTGTTCCAAAATCCAGAATTTGCGCGCGGGTTTGCCGCCTTAATGGCTCAAACTATCCTCGGGATGTCGGCGACAGCTCCTGGACAATCTGTCATCCTTATGACTCCTATAAACCTGCAAATCCCACCTACACGACGAGACGGCGGTGGGGTCGCCTCTCACGCAACGTCACTGCCTCGGAGTCGAGTATCACAGCCACACCGAGAACGAGCGGCTCATCACACCGAGGCCACTCATCCTCCCCCGGTGATTCCCCGTGAAGAAACTGCCAAAAGTCAATCTGGACAACCTCGAGCCCATTCCAATCCGGCACAGGCGGATCTCCGTCAGCATATAGAAAGAAACCGCTCGGCTCGCCAAGAATCCTCTGAATTAGAAGCTTTACGGCGAAGAATTGCCGAGTTAGAGAGTCGGCAGAGAGTGCAGGAAGATCTTCCTCGCCGAGCCTCAATCTCGGCGCAAGTATATTTGGAAGCCGACTCTCTTTTAACACCCGAACTCACGTCAGAGCCTGTACCGGGAAAAGTCAAAGTCCCTCAAATCAGATTGTACGATGGGACGTCGGATCCTGATTCCCACCTCGGTCATTACACGTCATGGATGGATCTTCATGGAGCCTCGAATGCACTTCGGTGTCGTATGTTCTCTCTCACTTTGGGGCCTCAAGCTCAAAAATGGTACTACCCTTTACCTCCTCATTCCATTTGGAAGTGGCAACAGTTGAGGTCGGCTTTCCGATCTCATTTCATTGGGGCCCAAGTTTGTTTAGTCCCAAAAGAATCCCTCGCAAATATAACTCGAAAAGATGATGAAAGTGTCAAGGATTATACTACTCGATTCAATGACCGAGTCCAGAACATGGAACCTAGCCACCCGGAGACCTTACTTGTTATGGAAATTGCTGGGTTGAAACCAAATTCCATTTTTTGTTGGACATTATGCCAGAACAAGCCGAACACCTTCCAGGAATTCCTTGCTCGAGCTCAGCAGCACATTATTGTCGAGGAGGCAATGTCAGTCCCCGATTTTAATTTTAATCCAAAATCGCCCATGTCGGGAACCGACGATAAGAAAAAAAACAAGTCCTTCGCCGAGAAGCAAAACAAGTCTCAATTCCGAGGGTATCCCCGAGGAGACGCTAACGACCCCGAAGTCAGAGCGGCTCGAAAACAGTACGCGAATGACGTAAAATTGGGATACCAAACCGTATATTCAGCTGGGGCCACTACCATTTACGAAGAAATCAAAGGGAAAGGCATTCTTCCTGAACCAAAACCACTTCGTACGCCTGAAGACAAATTGGATAAGTCACGGTATTGCGACTACCACAAGTCACCCGTACATAGTACCGATGAATGCCTAAGTCTGTTAGCCGCTTTGTTACGCTTAATCGGTCATCCACAACTCAGGAAGTTCTATCGAAACACGGATGTTCGGAAACTGGGGCCAGGATGTCAAATCGAGCCCTATGACGA